AGTAGGAGGCATGGAAAAAGTGGGGGGGGCTGCAGTGGAGGGGCTGGAGTGGAGGGGGACAAGAGCAGAGACAGGAGCTGGGTGTGCCATCATTTCTCAGATGGTGGCACACATGTTTTCACCCTGCTGATCCCACATGACGTTTGGTGCTCTGGCTGGGTCCTGGGAGCCCTGATGGTGCTCCTGTGAGGGCCAGAAGGGCTTCAGGGGACTTGCGACTGGGCCATAGCTCACAATGTGGGTGGAGCCAAATGGTGAGGTGCAACTCTGAGGACCAGCTTCCTGCCACAAAGTTTGTCCCACGTGCCTGCAGCTTTAAGGGCTGGCAGGGGACAGGAACTATAGAATTCTGATTAGTTTGGATGGAGTCGCCAACAGGGCACCTGTGTTATTTCCTGGAGGCCACTTCTTTCAAAAGAACTCCCACTTCCACGTCCACACACACCTTTTTCCAAATACATTTTTTTGGAAAAAGGCTTCTTCCTCATAGAGGTTTACCACCATTGGAAAAAACCCTCTGTTCTTTTGACTTTCTGTCGAAAGAACGCTATAGCAGTGCGGACGCAAGTATTGTTTTTCTGGAAAAATGTTGCAGTGTAGATGCACCCTTTAGTTAAAGCTAAATAGATTCAGCCTCATGTGTCTATCAGCATGTTTTCTACTCTTTTAATCATTTTCATGGCGGTTCTCTGAATCCTCTCCAGCTTATCAAACATACTTCTTGAATTATGGACATGGGAATTAGACACAGTATTCCAGTAGCAATAACTACACTAGTACCCAATAGAGAGGCAAAAGAAATCTGCTCCTTCTGAAGATTCCTGTTTAAGCATCCAAATATCATAGCAGCCCCTTTGGCCACAGTTTCACCTTTCAAACTCATGTTCAGCTTGGAGTGAATATGTCTTTTACGAACTCATCCAATCTTGAGTTAGAAACCATCACCATGTCTCTTTATAAGTTGTTCAAATGGGTAATTAACTTCACTGTTAAAATTCACCAGCCTGAATTTATTTAGCTTTAATTTTCAGACATTAGGTCTTGTTATATCTTTGTCTAGTAGACTAGAGAATTCTGTACTATCAGAAACTATCTCCCAATGTTATAGGCCGATCAAAACACCACTTAACCTTTTGTTCAGTAAACTACCAAGATTGAGCTTCTTAAGTCTTTGACTGGAACAACTTAATCCTCCCTGTAAGTATTCTCTGAACCCTCAAACATTTTTCAATATATTTTTTAAAGTGGACTTAACCAGAGGTGAAAGTAAAGTGGTGGGCCCCGTGCACCCCTCTGGTAAGAGCCAGCTGACGCGCCCTACTGTAGGAGGAGCTGGGGCATGCTCCCAGGTGGGCTCCCAGGGCTCTCCTGCAGGCTGTCACACTAATCAGCCATCAGGTGAAGGCACACCCTAATCTGGTCCAGGACTGACCCAGCCCTAAGACCCCCCTCGCCAGGATGTCCTTTAGGGACGTTAGGAAGGAATGAAGCCTCCCCATTTTTACTAACGCTGCTTGCTGCTCCCCTTTGGTCACTGTCAGGGAGTGAGAGGAAAGCACTTAGTGTGCCTGCATTCCTCTCTCCCTGTTGGTGCAGGGAGGTGGCAGAGGAGTAAGTGACCCACTCACAATTTTGCTACTATAATTCCCTATTTTAGTTTCAAGCCTTTTATCATCCATTATTTATTATTTAAAAATTATACATTTGAGCAAAATTTATATTAGAACATCCAGTATGGTCCATCTAGTTCAGTATCCTGTCACCCAACAGTGGCCAATGCTAGGTGCACCAGAAGGAATGAACAGAACAGGGAATCATCAAGTGATCTATTTCCTGTAACCCATTTCCTGCTTCTGACAAATGGAGGGTAGGGATGCTTGTCTTGGCTAATAACCATTGATGGACCTATCCTCCATGAATTTATCAAATTCATTTTTGAACCATTATAATATCCTCTGGCAAAAAGTTCCACAGATTGACTGTGTGTTGTGTGAAGAAATGCTTCCTTTTTTTTTTATTTTAAAACTGCTGTCTACTAATGTCATTTGATGACCCCTAGTTCTTGTATTATGTACTAGGTACTAGGCATTCCTCCTATTTGTGTCATCTGCAAACTCCATCAGTGCTGATTTTATATTCCATTCAACATTATAGATAAAAATGTGAAGTAGCAGAGGGACAAGAATTGATCCTCTCAAGACCCCACTAAAAACATGCCCTCTCAATGAAGATTTCCCATTACAAATACATTTTAGAAACTAACCTGGCATTAATTCTTTTAATGCTCACCATGTTTTTATATCATTCTGGTTTTTTAATCAATACGTTGTGCAGTTATCAAGCAACATGCCTTACAGAAGTTTCTTACATCAATCAACCTTAATGAAAACAAGGTATTAGCTTGGTTTGACAGGATCTATTTTCTATAAATCCAAGTTAATAAGCATTAATTATATTACCCTCTTCTAACTCTTTATTAATCAAATCCTGTACAAGGCAGTCCATTATCTTGCCCAGGATCAATATCTGTCTGATAGGTCTATAATTAACTAGGTCATTCTGTTTACCCCTTATAAGTACTGGGGTACAACACTAGCTTTCCTACAGTCTTCTGTAACTTCCCCAGTGTTCTAGACTCTTTAACATTAGTGTTAATGGTTCATTCAGCAAATTCCTCAGCCAGCTGTCTTAAAACTGTTCTACACAACTTATTTGCACCCGCTGATTTTAAAAATGTCCAACTTCCATCATCTGAAGGGTATATCTGTATTTCTAATAAATGACTAAGGAGAACGATTCACGTCTTAATCCATACTTCAAACTTCAATGTATGTGTATGTGTGTGTATTCTATGTATATATATTAACTGCATGGAGATTTAAGTGCAAACAAATCACTACTAAAATAGTTTATAATCCGATACAACTAGGAAAGTGCTATCATCTGATTACTTACCTTTGCTTTGTCTGCAACAAAATAACACTCTAAGTATCTGGCAGTTGTGTACCAAGTGGTCAGTTCTTCTTTTTGGACCTAGAGACACATAAAGCAGTGTTACATACTTTTAAACTGAGGTGTTTAACTGCATGCAGAATCACAGAAATACAATCCTGAACCATACCCTCCTGTAATTATGTCACTCACCCAAGGGGAAAATCTTACAGAATTATAATTCTTTGACAGGGTAATAAGTCTTGTGGAGGGGGAAAGTGGTAGATGTGGTATATCGTGACTTTTGATACTGCTTCACATGACCTTCTCATAAACAAACTAGAAAAAAGCTACTTATATGGAGTTTCTATAAAGTGATGCATAACTGGTGGGAAAACCATTTCAACACAGTATTTATCAGTTATGCACAGTTTAGATCATGTCATAGAGAGAACCTTTATAAAATTTGCTGATGATACCAATCTGGGAGGGGTTGCAAGAATTTGGGAGAATAGAATTAAAATTCAAAATTATCTGGAAAACTGGACAAATGGTCTGAAGGAAATAGGATGAAATTCAGTAAGGACAAATGTAAAGTACTCCGTTTAGGAAAGAACCACCATTTGCACACATAGGGTGTGTCTAGACTACAGGGTTTTGTTGACAAAAGTGGACTTCTGTCGACACAACTATACCTGTGTCCACACTACTGCCAAGTTCTGTCAACATAACATTGACAGAACTCAGCAGTAAACCTCATTCTACAAGGATTAACGCCTTTTAGTCGACAGAGTTCTGTCAACAGGAGATGTTATTGTATCTGCACTGTCCTTTGCGTCTACTCTCTCCTGTCGACAAAGTGGCTTGCTTTGTCAACAGAACTGGATGTAGTCTAGACACTCTTTGTCGACATTATCTGTCGACAAAGCCTCTGTCGACAAAAGCCTGTAGTCTAGACGTACCCATATAAAATGGGGGGGGGGAATGAGTACTACAGAAATGGACCTGGAAGTTATAATTGGTCACAAGCTGAGTAAGCAACAATAGAGTAACACTACTGCAAAAAAGAAAACATAATTCTGGGATGTATTAGAAGAAGTGTTGTAAGCAAGACAGGAGAAGTAATTATTTCACTGTACTCCAAGCTGATTATGCCTCAACAGGGGTACTGTGTCCTGTTCTGGGTGCCACTCTTCAGGAAATATGTGGCTTGTCATGGGCAAGCACACCTAGTCTCTTCTTGGGGAAGGAAAAGGGTAACTATTTCCCTCTAGCTATACAATCAGCCCTTGTCTTGGGGTAGCATGACCTTGAGGTAAGAGGCAATATAGCCACCCTGTTTCTCAAGGTTGTGTGGCCCAACAGGCAGAGTAAATATGACAGTTGACTCACACAGCAATCTGTATAGCTAGTTGGTTCAGCTGGGGTGTAAGACTTAGTGGCCAGCAGCAGCATGACCACTTGTTTGATTGGTACTAGTTGTAGGGTCTGTTTGACCATTTGAAAAGTGTGAATTGGGAATGCTTTGTTCCAGGTGAGCTTTGAGGGGCTGATTGGATTGGAGGCAAGGCTTTGAGATAGGTCTTCAGCTTGGACCCAGCAGCCTTTTTAAAATGGCAGAGTGAACTGCATGAGCAGCGAACAAGGCATCAGCCAATAGGAGAGTGTGCCTCGGGGAAGCCCCAAAGAGGTTGGTCTTTTTCTTGGTTTTTGTTCTTTTCTTTCTCTCTCTCTCTCTCATACTTCTCCCCTTCAGGGGGCAATAAAAACAATATCTGAATAAGAGTCTCAGAAGGAAGGCAGAATAGATAGTGAAAGATCAGCTGTTGTGACTTTCACAGCATGTGCAATGTTCGTCTTCCTCCCAAAAGATAGAAATGGTTTCATCTATACCAAGTGCAAGCTGATCTCTATATTAGAAGAGAAGGATAAAGGGCTAGAGGCCCAAGAATCAACCCTATGATGTATTAGAGAAAATTAAGATTTTCTGAATAGGAGTCAGCATTTGATACTGCAGGCACAGGATCCTGAAGAACAAGTTAGGGCAGTACAGAACATGGAAGAAAGTTGGCAACATGTGACCTCCTTGAGAAGACAGACAAATCAGGTATCCCCAATTCTGATAGAGGTAAGTAACCGCTTTCAGGCTCTCTGCACAGGTACTATGGTAGAGAATTGCTTTGGCAGAGACCTCTGAAGGAAGGGATCAGAAGGAGACCCCATTGACCAGAAGGCATGGGATGCATAGTCCTAGGGAAAGGAGTTCCAGGACCACCACCACTCAAGAGAAGGAGATGGGTGGTGGTTGTAAGGAACTCCCTCCTAAGAGGAACAGAGTCTTGAGAAGTCTGCTGCTTACCTAGAGATAGAATTCAGGATGTAACCAAGAGCCTTCCGAGACTGATCAAACCTTTGGACCCTTCCTACTTCTCCATGTAGGAACTAATGATACTGCCAAGAATGACCTTGAGTGGGTCACCACAGATTATGTAGTGCTGGGATGAAGGGGTTTGAGGTGTAAGTCATGTTCTAGTTCATCCTCCATGTTGAGGGAAAAAGATCCTGGTAGGGATTGTCAAATCTGGAAAGTAAATGCATGGTTGTGCAGATAGTGTCAGAGTAAGGGCTTTGGTTTCTTTGACCATGTGATGCTGTTCTGGGCACAAGGATTGCTAGGAAGAGATGTGATCCACCTAACTGAGAGGGAAGAGCAGCTTCACAGATAGGCTTGCAAACCTAGTGAGGAGGGCTTTAAACTTGATTCATCGAGGGATGGAGAACTAAGCCCTGAGGTAAGTTGGGAAGTGGGATAACGGGAAGAAATACAAGGAGGAAAGTGCAACAAAGGAGGACCCCTGATTTGTATGGAGAATGTAGTGCAATCAGCTAGTTTTCTAAGGTGTCTGTACATGAATGCAAAAAGCCTGGAAAACAAGCAGGAAGAATTAGAAGTCTTGGCATAGTGAAAGAACTATGATTTGATTGGAATAATGGAAATTTGGTGGGATGATTCACATGATTGGAAAACTGTCATGGAAGGGTATAAACTATTCAGGAAGACAGGCAGGGGAGAAAAGGTGGAGGACTTGCACTATACAGAAGGGAGCAGTATGATTGCTTACAGTTTCAGTATATAGGAGAAAAGCCTATTGAGAGTCTTTGGGTTAAGCTTAGAGGCAGGAGCAATAGAGGTGATGTTGTGGTTGGTGTCTACTATAGACCATCAGATCAGGTGGATGAAGTAGATGATACTTTCTTCAAACAACTAACAGAAACTTCCAGATCACATGCTCTGGTTCTCATGCAGGACTTTAATCAGCCTGACATCTGTTGGGAGACCAATACAGTAGTACATAGACAATACAGGACATTTTGGAGAATGTAGGGGATAATGTCCTGGTACAAGTGCTAAAAGAACCGACCAAGGGCCATGCACAGCTTGATCTGCTGCTCACAAACTGGGAGGAATTAGTAGGGGAAGTAGATCTGGGTGGCAACCTGGGAAGCAGTGATCAAGAAATGGTCAATTTCAGGGTCCTGACCAAAGGAAGAAAGGAGAACAGCAAAATACATACTCTGGAATTCAAAAAAGCAGACTGACTCCTTCAGGAAACTGATGGGCAGGATCCTATTGGACACTAACATGAAAAGCGACGAGGAGTCCTGTGGCATCTTATAGACTAATAGATTTATTGGAGCATAAGTTTTCGTGGGCAAAGACCCACTTCGTCAGATGCATGAAAAGGAAAGGAATCCAGGAGAGAGATCGTAGTATTTTAAAGATGCCTTATTGAAAGCACAGGAATAAACCATCCTGATGCACAGTAAAAAAGGCAAATGGTAGGTGACTAGCTTGGCTTAGCAATGAAATCCTTGATGAGCTTAAACACAAAAAGTGGAAACTTGGATAGGTGACTAGGGAGGAGTATAAATATATTGCTTGAGCATGTAGGGGTGTAATCAGGAAGGCCAAAGCTCAATTGGAATTGCAGATAGCAAGGGATGTGAGGGACAAAAAGAAAGGTTTCTACGGGCATGTTAGCAATAAGAGGGTGATCAGGGAAGTTGTGGGACCCTTACTGAATGAGAGAGGTAACCCAGTGACAGATGTTATGGGAAAAAGCTGAAGTACTGAATGCTTTTTTTGGCTCTGTCTTCAAGAATAGTTCTGCTCCCAGACTACTACATTAGGCAACAAGAGTATGGGAAAGAGGTGGGCCGCCCTTTGTGGGGAAAGAACAGGTTAAGAACTATTACACATACACAAATCCATGGGGCTGGATTTAATGCATCTGAGGGTGCTGAGGGAGTTGGCGGATGTCATTGTAGATCCATTGGCCATTATCATTGATAACTCATGGAGATCGGGGGAGGTCCTGGATGACTGGAAAAAGACAATGTAGTGCCCATCCTTAAAAAAAGGACAATCCAGGGAACTACAGACTGGTCAGCCTCACCTCAGTCCCTGGAAAAATCATAGAGGAGATACCCAAGGAATCCATTTTGAAGCACTTGGAAGAAAGGAAAAAGATCAGGAATAGTCAATATGGATTCACCAAGAGCAGTCAAGCCTGACCAGTCTGACTGCCTTTTATGAAGAGGTAACTGGCTCTGTGGACATGGGGAATCATAGAATACTATAACTGGAAATAACCTTGAGAAGTCATCAAGTCCAGTCCCATGCCCTAATAGCAGGACCAAGCACCGTCTAGATCATCCCTGACAGATGTCTATCTAACCTACTCTTAAATATCACCGGTGATGGAAATTCCACAACTTCCCCAGGCAATTTATTCCAGTGTTTAACCACCCTGACACTTAGGAAGTATTTCTTAATGTCCAGCCTAAAGCTCCCTTGCTGCAGTTTCATCCCATTGCTTCTTGTTCTGTCCCCAGAGGCCAAGAAGAACAATTTTTCTCACTCCTCCTTGTGACACCCTTTTAGATACTTGAAAACTGCTGACATGTCTCCTCTCAGTCTTCTCATTTCTAAACTAAACAAGCCCAGTTCTTTCAGTTTTCCCTCATAATTCCTATTTTCTAAACTTTTAATAATTTTTGTTGCTCTTCTCTGGACCTCCTCCAATTTCTCCATCTTTCTT